CTTCTTCATCATCATCATCACCTCCATCATCTTCTTCATCATCATCATCACCTCCATCATCTTCTTCATCATCATCATCACCTCCATCATCTTCGTCGTCTTCGTCGTCGTCACCATCGTTCATTATTCCATCATCATTAACATTATTAATGCCAAGACTGATCATATTAATCTCTTTTCTTGTGACAACTTTTTGCTATCATCATTAGCATTATATGTCGCATTCATTATCATTATTGGATACAGTATCAGATACACTATCAGATACAGTATCATCTATCATCTTCACCAGAATGGCTAGCCACACAGCACAGCAAATAACACAAGAAAGAAAAGCAGAAATTGTGCACTAAATTATTAATTAATTAATTTAATTAATTAATTAATTAACCAAAGGTATTTTGAAAAAGTATATCTTAAAAGTAGCAAATGCAATTTTAATTCATTTTATCAGTAACCAAAAATACTAGACCTTTATACCATTACTGTTTTTCTTCACTACCTATGTTGAAAAACAATTTTAAAATACTAATTACTAATTATACTTGAGCGCTTATAAACTATCAAACAACAACTATAACATAGCTAACAAATACTGGTGAGTAATAAAATATGCAATAGTGAATTACCTATCCAAGGCTGATAATGACGTCATTTAGTTAGTATTTGCCCCTAGCAGCGGTTTCCAAGGAAAGAGAAATTTCATTTTGTAGCCAATCATTCAAACTCGGCGTATTTCCGTGTTAAGATGAATGGTATTCTTATGTCTGTGTTTGTTTGTTTGTGTGTGTTTGTACGTGTGTGTGTGTGGGGTGTGTGTGTGTGGTGTGTGTGTGGTTGTGTGCGTGTGCATGTGTTTTTATATATTTATGTCGATATGTTTATTTATAGATAATACATGCTAAGAACCGTAATTAACGTGATATGGATCAGCAATAAGCTCTCACACACACGCACACACACACACACATTCACGCATACACACACACACATTTACACAGAAAGAGAGGAGAAAGAGGGGAAGAGAAAGAAAAAAAGAGAGAGAGAGACAGACGAGTAATAGTTAAAACATCAACAACATCAACATCAAAAGCATCAGTAACATTAACAGCAGCAGCCTCTGACGTTGGTGCTCTTCTTCTTCCTGTTTGTGTTAGTTCCCAAATAACGGATGCTTTATTTGATGATGTCATTAACGTGCGAGTGACGTTGATGTTGTTGATGATGGTGTCGTTGATGATGATGATGATGTTGTTGATGATGATGATGATGATGATGATGGTGATGGTGATGATGATGTTGATGATGATGATGATGGTGATGTTGATGATGATGATGATGATGATGATGATGATGATGATGATGATGATGATGATGATGATGATGATGGTGATGGTGATAATTTCATTTAGTATCATTGCGTTTAATGCCATTTCTACATCAGCATCATCATTTTGTCTTCATCATTTCGTCTTATTCATCATCATCGTCGTCGTCACCATCATTTTCATCATCAATCCACTCACACATAATACAGCAAGTAAATTCTATATGGTTTCATATTGAATTCATTGAGTTAGCATTTGAAATTCTCACCACATTCCATTTCATTCAATTTTGAAGTTTGGTGGGAACAAAAAACCAGATTTACATTAAATAGCTACCAAATGCCATTGTCATGATTATTACAATTTTTAAACTTTATCGTTATTATTTATATTATTAATACTTCTAATAAGTGATAATGTTATTATTTATACTATTTATCGAATTTTTATTAATTTAATTATTTATTTTTTCATTATTATTATTTTTGCAAAATTTTGTAAAATAATCCAGAAATTTGATAACAGCTTCTTATTTTTTTTTTACGCCTTTTAATTTTTCCAGTGAATTTTCTGAGAAATTTTCATTGAAAAATTTATCGAATTTTATAAATTTTCAAAAAAACGACCATAAAACTATTTTTCTTTCATTGGTTTTTTTTTATTTAAATTTAAAATAAAATAAATGAATTAAAAATATTAAATATTGAAATTAATGAATCAAGTTTTGAAAAATATATAAATTAGTACAGGCTGAAGAAATGAAATTATTTACGTCTTGATTATAAGAAGAAATAAAATAAAAATAACACACACTCACACACACACACGCACAAACACACACAAACACACACATATAGACACATTAAAATTTTTGAACGGTTTGAAATTGCGAAAGGCAATTATGAATAAATGGATTTTCTAGAATTGTAGATGCATGGAGGTTAAAAAAAATGAAATTAAAACTATAAACAAATAAAAGCTACAATATAATTACAACGATGTATATATATAATAATTTTAGTTGAGTTTATAACAAAAAATATAACGAAATTTATTCATTTGACATTTAAAATTAACTTTAAGTTCCCTAATTGCAATCGCAACTTCAATTTGCGTGCCACAACTCAGCGGGCTTCATTTCTATTACGAAAAGAGGTCGTCTCAAATATCATTTCTGCTACTACTACTACTACCGCTACTACTACTACTACTACCGCTACTACTACTACTACCGCTACTACTACTACTACCGCTACTACTACTAGTACTACTACTACTACTACTGCTGCTGCTGCTGCTTCTGCTGCTTTTGTTGCTACTGCAGCTACTTCGTGCTGCTGCCGCTTAGTTACGTCCCTTAACTACCTATATGACACTAAATTACTCTCAACCTTAGTGAAAAATAACTACTCAAATACTAATGGGATTCGTGTGTGCGAGTATGTGCAAACTTATCTGAAAACGCAGATGCGTGTCGCATACAAGTGCAAAAAAGTGGAAAAGAAAGAAATAAAACTTACACATCCACAACCATATAAATGTTACACATGTTAAGTAGATAGTACTGCAAACGTAATAAACCAAGTAGGTTACCAGTTACGACACTACTGATTTAGATGTTATACAAATTATTTTTGGAATGGTAATAGGCAATATTTGTCATATTTTTTACTTAAGTTTTCAAATGCTAGAAAATAAAGATTGTTTTTTCTTCTCAAGAATAGTCAAAACATATTTAAACCTTTTTTCGTCTGAAGCCTGATTTGTCTTTTGAAAAATTAGAATACTACGAAGAAAGCTATTCAAAAATAAAATTCCTATGAGCATAAAAACGTAATGGCGTTATTTTATAACGTGAAATGAGCAATAATTAAAGTAATAATTTTATTATTTTTATTATTATTTGATTTTATCATTATTATTATTATTATTATTATTATTATTATTATTATTATTATTATTATTATTATTATTATTATTGCCACATCCCACCACACGAAGTTCATGCTTCTCCACAGTCCACACTACACCGCATACAACCCATAGGCCACACACACCCACATCCACACCAAACGACGAAATTAGACATCTACACGAATGCCTGATAGCTTTTGAGTGAGCATAGGAAAGGAAGCATAGGAAAGAAAACAGACAGCATAGGAAAGTAGCAGGTCCACACGAGATATTGCAGGCACTTCTTACTAAACTGTGGAGATAAACTGCTACAATTTTTCAATTCAATTTAATTACAATACGTTTTAATATTGAAATTGAATCAATAGCGATACAAAGCCGTGTATCAAATATTGGAAATATTTGCTAGCCAGAGCATTAAAGCCAGTCTAATCTCTTAACTCTATGGTTTATTTAAAAATCTTGTCAGCCCATCCCTAATTATATTTTTCATATTTTTTGCATTTTTCACCATTAATCATTTGCGTATTAAGTTTCGCCTAATATAATTTTCGCGAAAGCTTCGTTTTCCAGTTCGATTAGTGAGTTTGACGATTGATTTTATAAATTTTCTTTCATTTTTCTGTTTTTTAAATATCAATGCATAAAGTTCAAAGTCATTGAACTCATATTTTTTGTTTTTGAAAAAAATGTCATTTTTCTTTTTTTATCCTCCAACCCTGATCCATTTCCATTCCTTCCTAAATCTGAATCCGAATTTTGGTTTTATTGCCCGTCAAAATGTCAAGATCAGATCAGAAATCAATGTTCAATTTGTGTATGTAAGAGTAATTTTAAATTTAAAGGTCTTTGTTGGTGCATCTTCCCTTTCTCTATGAATCATAAATGACTTAACAAAAATTAGTAGGCTAGCTACTAGAAATTAAGAGTAATAAATGTATTTATGTAAATATATTCAAATATAAACTTTAAATATTAAATAATAATAAATACTTTTAATTTTTTGGGATCTCATTTATTTATTTAGTTGGAAAAGGTAAGTAAGAAAGACGTAAAATAATAGATTTTCATAAACCTGAATTTAATGTTATTGTGTTGAGCTCAAATTTTAGACGATGTAAATTTAAAATTGATATAAATATTAATTAATTTATTTATTTATTAATTTTATATGTGATTCAGAAAATGAAGGCTCCACCTCTTCCCGTGCCATCTTCAATGACCTTTGATGACAAACCTACTCAGCAGCAGTCAACAACCTACAGCAACAACAACATCATCACCACCAACAACAACAACAACAATCTGAGAGAGGTCGACTATTCAGAATATGAGTGGATGGAACATATAGATGAGTTTGATAAGGAGGTCTGCTTGACTGATTGCTATTTAGGAGTTTTTAACTTGTTTGCATGCATTTTAATCATTTTGAAATTTTGGATTTGTTAAGAAAATAAGTTTTAGTTCAATCATAGCAAGTGTGAATATTTTACTTTTTTCAAATAAAATATATAAAGTTGGTCTATAACTGGTTCTATAAATAATTTTGACTAGGTATTGAAAGTTTTGGAGGAAGAAGAGGCATTGTATGAGGCATATTTCTTTGAGTGTTTCGACTTAATAGAGTGTGATGATGACATCGACAACTACCAATATTATGATGACATGTACAGCAACAACAACTACATCATCAACTGCTACACCAACAACTACCTCCCGAACAATGCATATGAAAACTGCCTTCATCCAGATGTCAAATGTGATGAATACTTTTTGGAACAGGTTCGTTATCCTTCTATATCATTACTTTTATTTCATTTTCAGATGTTCATTTTCAACTTTATGAATTAACTTCAGCCTAACTTGTTATCCTGTACATGCTCGAATTTCATTCCTCTGGTATGGATGAGACTTCAAATTATGAAATGTTTCATTTGCTAAGTACAATAAATTGTTCACAATTTTTAATTTGCAGTTCTCCGTGTTAAATGTGAGCACCCTGAATCCAGAGGCCCCAGAGTTTCAGCCAAAGTTCTCGTAACTCGAACTATCTGATCTATGTACCGGCAATCTTTATCCTAATCCATCCAACCATCCCTTATTGAAATGACCTCATTCATTCGTTCAATCGTTCATTAATTCATTCAATCAATCATTTAATTCATTTTTGTTTTTGTTATTAACTGGTTCATTCATTTTTGTCTTAATTTAATTATTACTTGTCATCTAGTAGTTTGTCATTCATCTAGCATCTATTCATCATATTTTGAAAAAGACCATTAGTGGTAGAGATTATTATTATCACAGATGATTTCATTCATCATTTGGTTTGTTTTTTCTTTCCATCCTTCATTCATTCATTTATTGGGTTACTTATTATAACAAGATTTGTTGATGTATTTCAAAAGATGTTTTCAATTTTGTTTAGCCATTCATCAATTGCTCCCATGAAGATGTTTTAACTTATGGATATCATTTTTTCTTAATTTAGTGTTTTTTCAACCATCTACCTATCTATCCATTTATCTATCTGTCTATTCATCTGTCTGTCTATCTATCTATCAATTTATCTACATATATATATATGGGTCTATCTGTCTTTATCAGCCTATGTATCTATCTATCTATTTATTTATCCATCCATCTCTCTTTCTATCCATCTTTCTATCTTGATACATTTATATGAAATTTGTGACAAAATTCAGTCGTAACTGTCATTGGAGATGTGCCTCCACTATCTATCATCACCTATAAGGCAGAGAGAGAACTATGAATATGGAAAGTTATTTCGATGTAACTACAACAAAAAGACATAAAAATATTTATTCATATTTATCATTATCTTGTTATTTTTATTATTGTTATTATTAATACAAATTGTTGCTATTATGTGGTTGAGGTCTATTGTGTAAGCGGATAATGTATAAAAGAGACCATAGATACAATGTCGTAGTTTGGTAGAAATGGATGTTGGGTATAATAAGTTACTCATATTTTTAAACTTTTAAAAAAATATCAACAACAAAATTTTTTTGAAAAAATTTAGAAAATTTTTTGAAAAGAACTTAAAAAAATGTTTATCAGTTTTTTGCCTGTTTTATGAAGTTTTATTAAATGATTGGGTTTTTTCCGTTAAAGAAACCTTGAAATGATATCTTCTCAAATTTATTGGAAAAAGATTTATGTTTGCATGTATCAAGTTTTTAAATTTAGTGTCAACGTATTTTATGTGTATCTACTTAAAGCAGAGTATACAAAATGATTCTTTCCGTTGTAAGACATTGCTTTATGGAATAAACTTCAATTGACAAACAAAAGTTCAATGATGTTTGAATGAAAAATACTAATATATAGTTATTCATTTCTTGATTGTATAAAGAAATTGTTAGGTAAGATTGCTATCTTGCTATATCTGAAATGTCATTTACTCATTCATTCATTTTTTTCTTTTTGTCAATTATTTCTAGCCTGATAACTTATCCTCTGTTTAACAAAACTTGTTAGAGTTTATGTGTCTGGAATGGTAGTACAGATACAAATATAATACGGTAATAATACGAATGATTCACTTTTGAAATGTAGACTTGCGCATTCTTCAGTTTTGAAGAGGCTGTCTAAATGTGTGTGTGTGTGTGTGTGTGTGTGTGTGTGTGTGTGTGTGTGTGTGTGTGTGTGTGTGTGTGTGTGAGTG